AATGTATGCAGTGTGTTAATTATTGAAACTGTCCTACCAATTTGATTTGAAACTGTCTCATTGCTATTTGTTTATCAATAAAATTATGGCAAAAAAAGAAATTCAAAGCTAGTCCTTACAATTTAACAAGAACTTTTCTCAAAACTGAAAAAAAAATAACTAGGATGTATTATTATTTCCCATACTCTGATCGCTGGATAATTATCAATCTAACTCAGGACCCTCCGCTCACCAGGCAGATGCTTATGCCCCTGAGCTATCTCCTATGTTTGTGATTCATGAATAGACTAGATCCTCACCCAAATATCTAAATGTGAGAAAAAATAGCATGACAGGGAAAAGTAATAATATTAACATTAACATGTAATTGTTTCGATGGTGATATAAATTTGAAAGATAAATACATTGATACTCAAAAATGTAGCTAGTCACACTTTGGTTCTTCTCCATTTCAGCTATAAAATTTTAAAAATTATCTGATTACATTATTATTGCTAAATTCCCATGTTCAAATGTAGTGCACATAGACTTTTTTCTAACTTGTAAAATACCATAGAAAATAGTATCATTGCAGATTCTGAAATAAGTATAGGACCGTAAAAGGCATAACATAAATTACATGTAGGTTTGGCCATCTGTGTTTTGGTTTTCATATTTGCATGCTGAATTTGTTGCTCACAATATCATGTAATTTGTCATACAAATTGTATTCAGTGTGCTATTATTTTAAATAATGTAGCTATCTGTTAATCAATAATTTTATATGGAGTCATAGTAAGCATAATATAGAACACTCTCAACCAGCATGACACACACTTTTGGAACTGATTTTAAATGGATTATGAAAATGTTGATAGAAGGATTGAGACCAATAAGAGAACTAGTTGACATTAATCACACTTCTCTGCAGTCCCACAGAGCTTAGTTCTGAATTTAGGAAATTGATCCATCCTGTTTGATTTACTATAATTCTTTTCTTAGCCCTTACTCTCTACAACACCATAATTTTTATGATAGGATCCTGTCTTAGTCATTTTTCTATTTCCTACAGCATCTATTAATAATTGTTCACATAGTGAACTGTCACATCTCAGAAGAATAAAGATCTCTCCTCTTCTAAAGTGTGCTTCTACATTTTCTTTTCAGAAATTTGGTAGAACTCCATAAAAGAGAAGATGATTTGGAAATTTCAAAGAAGATTAAGGCTCACTGGACCTCTTTGGGGCTAGAAGATGTACAATTTGTGAATTACTCTGTGATGCTAAATGTGCCCGGCCCTTCACCCGGCACTGTGACGCTGAGCAGCAGCGGCCAGTGCTTCCACCCTAATGGCCAGCCGTGCAGCGAAAGAGCCAGAGCAGACAGCAGCCAAGATCTGCTCTACTCCTATGCAGCTTATTCTGCCAAAGGAACTCTCGAGGTAATACGACCATTTGTCTCTGTCATTTACAGTGAAATGGAATTAGAAAACAACAGCTTTCATCTAAATTGAGCTAACTGGCAAGATGTAACATAAAAAAGTAACCATTAAACATCCTCAGTCTGGAGGCACCAGGAAAGGGAAGGAAGATGGAAGTGGCCCTGATGCTTTTCTTGTCATGTTTTGAAAGTGAAAGCAGTTAGGAGAATTTAATTCAGAGGTGTTGAATATGGGACTGAGTCATTCACATTTACTCAGGCCATAAAGTGCAAGTTTATTTCACTTATAGTTTTGAAGAGGCCAATTTTAATACACTGATCTGTAGAGAAAGAATGGAAATGGAGGGGATTGGGTGTAGAGACTGTGTAGGCGCGTAGGAAATGAGGTGGAAAATTGATGCGATTATTCACACATATAAGACTTGAGAGACAGCACTTGTGCTTTCTTGATGGAAAACACATGTGATAGGGAGCCAGGTGCAGATTTTTCGTGCACCTTTGATGGGTTGGCTGGGTTTTGGCACTGTGGTGTGTTGGTACAGTAGTTAAGTGCAAGGCTATTAGAGCCACATGGATTAGTTTTAAATCTCAGCTCTGCAGTAACCCACTGTTATTTAAGCCATCCAGTGCTGAGATCCCATATCTCTGTGAGGAGAGTAGTAACAGGTCCAACTTTCTGAATCTGTTATGAGAATGAAACCAACTCATATGTGTTTATCTTAGAGAGCAGAGCATAGTCTATAGTAAGAATAAAGTACATTATATACAAATTTATTACTGATCACTAGTTTCCTACTTTTATAATTCTTAGTTAATACAAATAAAATGTTATGTTTCTGTTATAATGGCACAATTTTCTAAAATTATTATTTCTTATGCTTAATACAGGAAATATTTAGATCATTTAAAGCTATTTTACAGATATAGTCAAAATAATGTAATGGTGAATACTTGTTCCTAATATAAGCTTTTTTGGAGGGAATGGGAGACAGTAGGTGCAGCTTCACTTACGTTTCAGCACTGTTTCTACTCCTTGTTGGATTACAGTCTGACTTCCAGCAGTGCTGCGTAAAACGCAGTACAACCTTGAGAAATTTAACTGATAAGTTAGTTGGAATTTAATGTTAATTGTCTGTAGTATTCCCAGTGTAGGACTCTTTTAATTTGATTTGATTAATATACATTATTTCTGGTTGTCAGTATTGGAAATGAAACACACCTGCATATTAATAAAAATAGCTGCAGTCAGTATACTTTCCTTGGTTCAGAAGTTTGGCTTTAATCCAAGATCTGAAAAGTTACCAACATATTTTCTCTCAGACTCCTACCCTAGCCTAAGCCCCGCACATCTCTTGCCTTCTCTGCTGTCCAATGGGCTCAAATCCAGCAAGATATTTTGCTTCCTAACAAAAGCATGCTTATAACAGAACAACCACATGCCAGGCCCCTCTGGCTCATGCCTGTGATCCCTGGTGAGGCAGCAGGATCACTGTGATTTTTGAGGCTAACCTTGGCTACAAGGTAAGTTCAAGGCTAGCCTGAGGTGCAAAGTGAAACACTTTCTCAAAAGGACAATAACTAACTGAATAAATAAATGACCAACCACAAAAAAAAAAAAAAAAACAGGAAGTGCCTTGGATTTGCCCATATATACTTACCTTTCAGTTTATTCTGGCAAACATTGACAACTGCTTAAATAAGGTAATGCAGAAAAGTCACCAATCTACAACTTGTGTCCCTCTTTCATCAGGATGATCTTGTGTAATTATCTGTTGGCCCATTGTGCTAAATGAAGAATAAGATTGAATAAATTCTATAACATGAGTCCAGATACTTCAACATATTTGTTTGGTTCTTTATTCTCGTGCTGTAAATCGAACTCAGGACTTGTGCTTACTAGGCTGGTCCTTGTATCTCTAAGCGGTATCACGGACACCATGATATGAGTCCCTGTCTCTGATAGTTTTCTGTATTTTATCTTATCAGTTGTGCATGTTTAGTTTCTTTGTTTCATATAAAAAGCCAACTTTTTTTGGACATTCATTAAATGTCTGTGAAGTTGTAGTCTTTATTTGGTGGTAATCATCATTTGTGAATTGATTAAAGCTGCCATTATTAATTAAAAGGAGTTATAAAGCCTTTTAGAAGAAGTTATTAAAAGGGAGAATTTCGGGGAGGTGGCTCAGTGGAATAAGCGCTTCCTGCGCAAGCGCAGGGGCCTGAGTTCAATCCCCAGTTCCGCAAAAAAAAAAAAAAAAAAATTAAAAGGGAGAATTTAAGGTACAAATGAAGAAATATCCTCCATCTTTCAAATACTAGTCCTATACAGAAAGGATTATTTGGAGAACTAAAATTTGATTATGGATACAACAAAAACCTTGCATTTGAAGAACACAGTTTGAAAAATTAATCACACAAATTAGATGGAGTCATTGACAATAGCTATTTTAATAAATGCATATATAGTGAAAATCTATTAACTAAGTATATAAAAATTTAGTTGTGTGTATCAAACAACTGCAAATGATATTATTGATACTGATATTTATTTTATTATTTTATTTTTATTTTTGGCGGAACCAGGGATTGAACTCAGGCCTTTGCACTTGCCAGGCAAGCACTTATTCTACTGAGCAATCTCCCCAGCCCAATACTGGTATTTTAAAACTCAAACTCCATTAGGATCATCCTGCAAAGCAAAGTTTCCAAGAGGCTGGCGTACATGCATACAAACATTGGCATATGTTTTGTACACGTGTTTTAGAGAGCTAATGAAATTCACACATTATCATTAATAGGGCAGTAGTGATTGTCTTGCTTTTTTGTAGAGTTGTTCCCTATTGCAAATAAAGCTCATGTGCTTGTTGATACTGATTTGGGCATGTACCCCTTTTGATTTTGAATGTATTCTGTTTGCAAGTGTCTCTAGCAGGCAGGGCTATTAACACGTTCTTGAATTATTCTATTCTGATTGCCAGCAGAGCTCACTGCAACTTTAGCTTTTGACAAGGTTATTTGTAGCAGGGGAATGCCCCTTTTCTTTGAAGAGCTGTCATGTCCATTCATCACAGGACCGTTTTGTATAAGCTTCCAATTTGTGCTTTCTAGTAGCACTCTAACCAGCATTTGTGGTATCTAAGTTCTACTTTAAAAACCTACTTAGTGCCAGCATGATGGATGGTGTACTTTACTACTTCTTTGTAATTCATCGTGCACTAGAAAGGTGACATTGTTTACCCCATCATAATGACAGGTAGGTCAGTAAAAGGGTCCTAAGGAGAGTTGTCCTGTCAGATGCAAAATACATATTGAAATGGATGCATAAATAATTTAACAGGCATGAGGTTAGCTTTAGGTAATAAACAGTGATATGTATTCTTATAAAAATGTAAATATCTACTATAATATCACAAGGTTAAAGACACTGGTAGTGAGAGTTGGCATCTGGTTAATTTTCTAAATAGTACATATGGCCTTGGTGTAATACTCGTGCAATTATTTCTTTTGTGCCTTGTGAAACCAAGTCATATGCAGAAAAGTAAAGCACACAACTAATATTTCGTATACATTGGATTCAGTGGCATCTGCTATGTTCTACTTTTTGAGCAGCGTTGTTTTTCTTGTTCCCATACATTTTAGGAATATTGGATACTTCGCTTCTGCATAACATGCTTTTCATCTTAAAGGCAAAGCCAGATGATGCAATTTTATGAAGAAACATATTGTCAACAATTCATTAGGTGTGCATGGATGCATTGTTATTAACAAATTTATTACTCGCCAGTTCTCAGACAATGGAGTCCCAGAGCTTCCTGATCAGCTGAACAAATGTGGGTTGGTCACCTTGGTTCTCCAAAACTTACTGCTCTTCTCCATATAAAGGAATTAATAATAGTTCCTTGATGGAAAAATGATAAACATCATACAAAGTGTCCAGGACTTACAAAGTGCTCAAGAAGGGTTATTTGGCCCAAAGTAGATATATTTATATTGAATCAAATAAATAAATATCAAAACTGCATACTGAGTTTTGGAAGTATAAAATTTTATTTTATTTATCATGCCATCTGAATATAATCTTTCCATTGTCTGTTTAATGTACAGATATAGATTGTCAAGTAAAAATTTCTTTAACAAGTTTGAATAAATAAGACAATACATATAATACCCAGATTATTTTTTAACTAAACTGTAAACTCAAGGACAACAGGCATGAAATGTTTTATTCTTGAATGCAGAAAGATAAATCATGTCAAACTGAACTTAAAGAGCATCTCTTAATATATAATAGCCGACACTAACTAAACACATGAAATCTGAACAGTGTATTTAATATCTTGTCACAAAGTGTTAAAGAGAAACAACTCTTCACTGCAAGTAAAGCTTAGATAATTTATAATCTGATGTCTATTTGCTCATGATTAGCAAAACAATCTTTTTTAAAATATTTTCAAACAAAATTGCACTTATAAGTATTATGGCAGAAAGCAGAGCTACATGCATTTGTCTCTTCATGATGCCTGTGACAGGTAAAAATGTGAGAAAACTAAAGAAGTAGAGCAAAAATTTATTATTTAAATCTTGGGTGCCTGTGTTTGAAGATGAAGCTATTGTCTGCTTAAGACTGAAATGTAAATTTGGAACCATTTTTCAATAGTGAGAATGATGTGGGATTTGAATTTTCTCCTCTCTTCATTAATTCTGGTATTGTTCCTTTTTTTTTTTTTTTTCTTTTGGCAACAGGGTTCAAGTCTGAGATGAAAGACTGCACACGGATGTGTGTCAATGTCACTTTAAAATGTTGTGTATTGTCTTTGGTCTAGACAACCTTCTGTGTTAGGTTTCATGAGCTCTGATCGCTAAGCAAATAAGTAAGCAAAAATAATTCCATAATTGCAGCTTTTGTATTTGTTGATAATACCTCCAGGGTTAGGCCTGAGGGGCCTCTACTCACTGGTTTTCTCAGCACTCAGGAGGCTGAGGCAGGAGGATTGCTATGAG